AGAAGCATGTTAAACATTTTGTATATAAAAATTGTACGTATTTTTTTGAGGTTTTTAATTAAGGTTATAATGAAAAGTAAGATCATTATACGAGCATTAATAGATGTTACGGAAAATTTATATCTAATTTTTATGTTTTTAATTAATTATTCAAAGTGTATTTATATTGTTGCAAAAAACATAAAATTAATTAAAATAAAGATTTTCCTGTACAAAGTCATTTGAAGGTCATGTTGTTATATATATACCGTTAAATTTTTCTTAATGTGTTATTATTAAAGAGTAATAGCGTTGCAAATGTTGTTTTGTGTAATGATATAGAGAAAAAGCTAATTGGCGCGCGCGTAGCGCGCGCTTGTAATGTTCTAGTATAATAAAATAAAGGAAATGAAAACAACCACTGCATAGTTTATTTTGTAAAGAATTATCTCTTATATTCCGGCAATAAGATAGATTATTTATCATTTATCACACTCTATACAATAAGACACACTAGAAAAAGAAAAAAAATTATTTATTTACCAATTAAACGGTCGAATTTTAAAAATCTTTGGATCATAAACGACTCTGAGTAAAGTATTTTGAATAGGTATATGAAAACCCCGAATGGTCTTCAACCTGTAATAAAAATAATATGTTTCAAAATACTTTTTATATTTAATGTGTGTCGTTTTAGAATTATTTTAAAATAATTTTTTAATAAATAATTTTTAACAAATAATTATTATATTTAACAAAATAATCTAAACATTTAGTAAGTAACAAATTCAAATGTTATGTCTCAATAATTAACCTTAAAAAATAATTCAATACAATAATATAGAACAATATAAATATGAAGAGACACGGTAGTGTCTCGCGCCAAGTACACGCGGAGCGAGACCGACCGTGACTCTTTTACGCGACGCGACGGGTTGCGAGTACCCGAGATGTTGAGATCTCAATAACGAGTGAACGGATCAAGTTCTAAGTAGGCTTGATCGATAGCTTGGGGTCCAATTAGGAGGGGGGGGTTTCTCTTATAATATCCCGCTCCGTGCCCTACGAGCGGAGATATTGCGACGCAAAGTCCAAATGTGAAAATTTTTTATTAAGATACTTCTTCTTCTACTTCTAACGCCGACTTATATGATGACGTCATAATCAGAAACGTTACTTTCACTTTTTCGACGCTGGCGGCGCAGGTATCGCCAGTTTCGATATCGCGCGCGTATTTCGAAATTAGGTCGATAGACTTATCGGTCAGGAGGAAGATTTCTATTTAGGTAAATTAGGTATATACTTATATAATATATATTGAGTCAATTGCTTCATGTTTATCTGGAGAGATTTCGTAGTTTTTGGTGTCTAGGTGTATTAATAACTTTAAATCTGAATGTAGGACACGTAGATATCGAATTCGAGGTATTAATACACGTAGACACCGAAAACTACGGAGCGCACTATGTGGACCTCGTCATCGGCAACGTGGGACACCTAGACATCAAATTCAACGTATTATTACACCTGGACACCGAAAACTGTAGAGCGCACTATCTGGAACCCGTCATCGGCAACCTGGAACACGTGGACATCGAATTCAAGGTATTAATACACCTGGATACCGAAAACTATGAAGCGCACTATGTGGACCTCGTCATCGGCAACCTGGGACACCTAGACATCGAATTCAAGCTTGATTCATAAGAATCGACTTAAAAATTCCCTAGCGGCAGAATTAAAATTATGTCATGATTAACATGTACCTAAGATTTATAGAATCGTTATTAATTTTATTATATATCTCAATTGCGCGAATCTCAAATATGTTTTGTAAAAATTATGCATAATATTCCTATGCAAGGATACTTGTTTAATTATTTCTTTCTATTGCATTTAAGTATAGAAAAATATACAATTTCTATGTGTTTGCATTTTATATTTAATGAGCAGGCAATTAAATATATATGATTCAATTTGCGTCTATGTCTCTTTATTGACTGACATAGTTATATACTTTTAAATCTTTTTCTTTTCTAAAATTTAATCAATTGAATAGCAAAAACTACGTTATCATATTATATATTTTTGGTACGTAGTGTGCAAATGTATTTTGAAATAAAGATTATATATTTTTTACTGAATTATTTACACACACGTGCGGTTTCAGAGAATCATTTATCGCCAACTCAAATATGTTCCTACTCAACTGTTAAAATATGAAAGATAATTTTATCTAGTTGTGACATTCGCTCGAATTCCCGAAATAATTTTCAAGGATGTGAGTACGAATATATATATATCGTACTATTTAATATTTATAATTAATAGAAAATTATAAACGATGCGTTATGTATGAGAAATTTAACAGAATTGCTTTTATCAAATAGAATTAATTTGCGATTAGTTAAAGGGAATAAAAGAATAAACAAATCAGGTAAATTTCAGACACGTGTTACAGGTGTCCATCTGTAATTATCAAAAATATCGATACCTGAACATATACAGTTGCGAACAACATTCAGTAAGACACGCGAATAAAAATAAATAAAAAATTTTACAGTTAACGACTTATTAACATTAATCATGTTATATTGCGATTATGTTTTATATTAAAATTAAAAAATATATACAAGGTGTACAACTAAAAGGGTTACAGATTATTATTTTTAAAAAACTAAGCAAAATATTAAATTGTTACTGTTACCTCTGTAATTCTTTGTGACCACTAAAAAATACACATGTAAACTTTGTATTTAAATATCTTGTATTCCCTTGTTAAATTTAAACACAATTTAAAGATTTTTCAAAGTAGTGCAACAATTATTTTTTGAGGCTTATCATTAACACCGATCTCTCTGTTAAGAGCTGCGATGTTAGTCTGCGGTGGTCCACCTATCATAGAAGCGCCCGTGTCGACGACAGCTTGACAGCCTTCCGAACAAAAGGTGTAATTTTTTACTTGAATCCTACAGTGGGATAGCATTACCAATTAGCTGACATATTATCCGTGGTTGACATACGTAATTTAGAAAAAAAAACTACATACTTATCTATTTTAAATTCCCAGTATTCTAGGCGGGTAACATTAATTTAAATAAAATTTTTTAATCTTATAAAATTGTTATCATACATTCTTTTCTAATTGACACAATGTAAAGATTTTTCAAAGTAGTGTAACAATTATTTTTTGAGGCAATATATTATATATGTTCTCTCTGTAATTGGCGCTGTAATTTAAAGAGATATCATTTCTTTTTTGTAATTGTAATAGATCACTTAAAGCGCGACTCTTCTTTTTGATAAGGTAACATAATTTTGTAATGTGTATCACTTGGGTTATAATTTTTCGGAAATAAAGATACTGCTGCTTAGATTTTTTCAAGATTTTTCGAGATATAAAGATTACGTCTACCACTTGTTACTTAGGTTTTTCCGATGTCTTTATATACACCATATCTCTCTCATACTTCAGTTAAGACTTGCAAGCAACCTAAATAATAAAATCATTATATTATAGTTATAGTTCCTTTTTTTTCAAAATTTCGGGTTAACCCTGAAGAGCATATGTGGGGTAATACGGTATCCCACGCAAAATTTAAATTACGCCCCTGACTTAGGAAGATTAGTTTTCATACCGAGACCCTAACCATAATTCAGTTTAGTCATCCGGCAGTCGACCTCCGTACGTCATTCAGCGAGTGCGTTAGATCCGTACAAAAACTGTGACCGAAAAAGAAAATCATTTGGAGTAACGTATTACCCCCGGTCGGCCGTTTACGCTCGACATTTACCACAGTAAGTATATTTCAGATTTTTTGTAAAAATGACTCGTTTTGGCGTTTTCAACGTGTATTCAAAAGTTTTTTGTGTAAAAATTTTTTATTGACAAAAAAAGCATTGTAAAGCATTGTAAAAACGACGTGACGAGCATAGAATGACCCTGTGCTGTTCTTGCACAGCAACTGATTAAAACTTTGTAAAGTTTTTGTGGAGTTAATTTTATACTGTTTCCATATACTTTTATAACTTATGACTATTTTTCAAATAAATAATAATCGACAGAATCTGTTTTACTTTCCATTTCTTGCGATTTTTCCCATCCGACAGTTTTTCGTCATTTCCTCTACTTCAGACGTTCAAAAATATACTATTTTTTTAAGAAACGAAAAATTCGCTTACATGCTCTTGAAGGTTGTCTATTCGTTTTTATAAAAAAAGTCATTTCAACCAAATTTTTGGTTTTTTGTTTTGTTTGTCGAAATTTTTTTTCTGTTTTTTTTTTACTACCAGAAACTGATGACTACTATTGTCTTCCCTATTAAAAAGCAAAAAAAATTATCTATTACAAAGTTTTTTAACAACAAATAGAAACATTATACACGCGGTACAAGTTTGGGGTAATTTATTACCCCGCTTGGCCTTTCACGTATGAGAAAATTCATATATGCTCTCTAAGGTTAATAAAAACAATAATCAGTTAGCAAATACTATACATAAATCATGGCACTCATATCTTAATACATAATTAGTTAAAACAAGTAAAAGTAAATTCCCTAGTATGATTATTAAACTGGGTGGAAGTAGCGACAGGATATGATGATTCTTTAAGCTCATTAAAAATAAATGGATTATGGTTTAATTGTTTAGTTTCTAATAATTATATTATCAGAACTATCAATGATAAGATATTGTCAAATGGCAAAGTTAGAATATTGATTTTCTTTTAAACAATAATTAAAATTTAGAGATTATTTAAATAAATGCGTCAATCAAAATGTAAGTAATTATAAAAAAGCAACAGAAGAGAAATAATCCAAAGTTAATCCTGTGATAATAATTTAATAAATCACATTATTATCATTATCATTATCATTATCATTATCGTTATCGTTATCGTTATCGTTATCGTTATCGTTATCATTATCATTATCATTATCATTATCATTATTATTATAGTAATTTACACATCCTTGCACTTAAAAAGTGTATTAAATATTTATATGTGTGTAATATTTGCAGATTATTGAACAAATTCACTTCTACACACTTCCACACACATTTATACAAGAATACATCTATGTAATGTATATAGATGTTCGCGATTCAGCGTGCGGCAGACCAATGAGCGACGTCGTTCCACGGGTGGCGCGCTTTCAGGCGCAGCCGTCGCACGAGTCTCTCGCTTGTGGGTCACCGACAATATAGAAGAATAGGAAGTTTTTTATATGACAAGGAAAGGGTTTTGGAGTTGCTAAATACCGTGTTATACCGTGAAAGTTATGAGCCACAAGATTTTGTAAATTCTAAAAAAATATTTAAAAAATTTTTCTTTCCCGAATTGAAAATTGAATGTTTTCCGAAGATCGTACAATATATACCTGACAATCTACGGCATTTTTACTCGGACTTACCAGAAATAGCATATAAAGCAAAATGTAATAAATGTGGTAGCATTATATTATCTTATTTAACAATATATTGAAATTTAAGAAGACATTTAAAAATATATCATGACTTGATGAACCAAAGTCAACATGAGTAAGTACACACACACACAATTAACAACTTATTAAAATACTAAAAATTATATAAAATAAATGTAATGATAAAACAATCAATAGCTAAAGAAAATTGAGCGAATAAGAGCTTTCATAAAAAACTACGGCATCTATAAAAAACTATTTGCAATTTCGATCATAAAATGTGCCTTTCCAATCTTATTGTAAGTGTAATAATATTTGAAAAAATTTAAATCGTTTATATTCACATTTTTATGCATTATAAACATATATAAATTTGACAATATAGGTATACGATTCGTATTTGAATCATCTGGATTCAAAATTTTCGAATAGTTCGGATTCGAATCATAGAAATTCGAATTGGAATCAAATCGAATATTACCGATTCGATTCGATTCAATTCGTATAGGTATTCGAATAGTTCGCACGTCTCTAATAGAAAGCTCGTAAGACTGGTTAATTAAACCCAATAAATAACCATTATTTTGTTTATAAATAATGTGGTACAATTGTCCCCCTTTACTGTTACAGTTGTCCCGGAGATTAGGACGGAGAATAGGCGGAGGTTATCTGCCTATCATCTGTTTAGCAACAACAGTGATTGCTACATGCAAGATCAATCTCCCCACTATAGTAGCCATTCGTCACGAAAAGATTAAGCGGTTAAATGCTAATAAAAAATTATACACGTACGCGCGATAATTTTATCTATAAGCATATTGTACATACGTGCACATTATGCCGTCATTTTCTAAATTGTATTTTTTAAAAACCTGCGTCAATCTTTCAAACGTGCCTTAGCCGCTCGGCGCTATCTGTCAATACGTACGAGAAAGAGTACAAAGGAAGGCACAGTTCAAATGTCATCACGCTATGGGACCTAAAGGGACTGTATATAAAAGCCTCACCGTGCATGGCTTCGTCAAAAAGAAAGTCGACGTCCAAAGCAAATAAAGTAGCAAATAAAGCTCGAGTCGTACGGAAAGACAAAGCTATGGCATCGAAAATACTTGTGGTACTTGTAATGGTCAGCATCATCGGTTTGATCGTACCAGAAATTTCAGCAGTGCCAGCATGTGAGTAACTAAAACTTCTTGTGCTTATATATACAAGCATTGTTATTCCCCAGACAACACGAATGTCTCAAATCAAATTGTGTTCACTGGGTTATCAATCGTTTAAGCCTTTATCCAGGTAGAATAGCAAGTCACAATAAAATCAAAATGATGTCAAAATGACGGCAAAATGAATTTTTTTGTCATTTTACCATCATTTTACCATTATTTTGACGTTTTTTGACCTTATATTGTGACTTTCGTGTTCTACTTGTATAAGCTATGCTCAAGCGAAACATGTATATAGTTACCTAGTTGAGAATTAATAGTTTTGTTTTCATCGTAGATTATTTTTTTGGTGGTCAGCGAAAATGTAATCCGGGAAAATGGTACCGTGTTGAATGTATCTACTGTATCTGCACTGAAGCGGGCACAGAAGACTGCAGGGATGAATATTGCGGGTATTTCTTGCCAGGTACCAATACGTGGGTTAAAACGCCAGTAGTTCCAGTACCTGATGATTACTGGCAATGGTGAAATATAAAAACTTCTATGAATTTAATATTTTAATGTGAGAAAATAGGATTTGACAATTTTTATATTATATTGGCATAATAGTATTGTGCATTAATTGTTATGCAATCATACATCTATGTATTTCTAAAAGTTAATTGCGCTTTACACGATTTTTTGTTAATCTTTTTTATTTCCCTTTCAGATCCGTATCATTGATGGTGAATGTACAAGAACCGCCGCGGTTTATGTAATAATCATAAAATAAAGACATAAAAAAGTAAAGAAACCCGTTAAATATACGTACTATTCGAAAAACTATAATTCAGATTACCTATATTTTTGTATTTTATTTTTATACAAAAGTTTGTACAAAAATAATAGTATTACAATTATAATTGCAGCTATATTAATTATTTATTTAAGCATTCTTTGCAAATAAACTCCACATTATGTTGCAGTACACAATTATTTTGTATATATTATATATCTTATAGTAAACATGAAGCTGTGGTAGTAATCATATAGCTTTCGTAACATTTACTTTTTCTATTACATAGCTTCATATTTACAATAAGAAATACTAAATAATTATTGTATATATTGCAACATAATGTGGAGTTATTTGCGTACAAAGAATACTTAAACAAATAATAATAAACGTTGCTTTATATCTTTGTTATAACTGTTCAAAAATATATATATAAAGAACTTTAAATTGAGCTAAGCAGAAAGAGAAATTATGATAAAAATTTTATAAAATTAAAAAATCTTTACACGACAATTATATAACAATTCTCTTAATATATACCTCTAATTTCATCCCAATAGATATAATAGTCCCTTTAGGAAATACCGGCCCTATATTGTCTAATTGCGAAATCTATCTAATAATATAAATCTAACTCTCTAAAAGTCGAAGAATGAAATACCACTCAAAACGAGTGAAATGCAAGTGTAACGAAAAGTGAATTGAGCCTGTGCACTTTGAGTAATTTGCCACTCTGAAAAAGAGTTAAATTGCGCTTTATAAGTTGAAATTAAATCGCACTCTATTTGAGTGAATGAGCACTCTTTTCGAGGGCAGCAGATCAGTGTCCATATAGGAGTGAATAATTATCACTCTACAATTTTGAGTGGAAAATTTCACTCTGTTAGAGTCATCATTTATCATTCGATCTTTAATGAATCGTGATTCACTATAGCTTTTAGTCGAGATCGTATCACTCCGGTAGAGTAACCGCTCTAAAAATTTGAGTGAAAAATTCACTTATGATGAGTGTCCGCATTTACTCAAATTAGAGTGACAACCCTCTCTTTTGGAGTAACTATAGCTATCACAATCACTCAAATATATTAGTAGTAAAACCACTGTATGAGATTTAGAGAGTATGTGTATTTCTTTTTTTTCAACTTGACGCTACAATTGCTTCGAAACATTCTTCTTTGCTCTTTTTTTTTAATAAAGAAAAAAAAGAAGAAAAAAGCTTCAAAACATTTGTAGCGTCAAGTGCTGGATCGCAGTAGGTCTATGTCATCTATATTGTATTTCACAAGCGGCATTCACCAATTCACCTTCAGACCTCGATAATCGCAAGAAACGTAAGGTGGGCTTCCGTGACTCGGGATCTGTCGAGGAACTACGATTCTCGAAGTCGAAATAGTCGAACAGGTCGAAAGAGCAATTAATGGCGACAATCGAGTCTGCTCGTTCCATCTGCAAGTCGAAATGAGTTATACACGCGGCCACACGGAACGCGTTATTTCTCATTCCCTGATCATTTCCTTGACACTTGGGATCGTTTCGTCAAATGCATATATACTACTCTATCGTGGATTATAAAATGCAACACAGACATAAAATCGTTGGACGTCGTTCAATGCGCGTCCTACGCGCGCGATATTTGTAGATTTGCAGATATACTGGCGCGCAATCGTGATAAATATTTGAGAGAGGCTTCCTAATAACGTCTGTCATCCTGCGAATGTCGAGCAAACTCGCTCGACTCTAGTGATTCGCGTTAAATCAATAAATCATTCGGCGGATCCGCGCTTGGGTGCGGCGGCTGCCATCACGTCGGAGCGTTATCCGGCTCCGATAACGCGCCGATAAGAAATCAAATTGCAAGCGACTCGAGCGTCCATCGGACTATAATCGTCGGGTGTCATCGCCGATGACTCATCGGAGGAGGATCCCGCGAAAATGCTGAGTTGCAAAATGGGTGCCGATTCCAAATGTATCCTGGTGACCGGCTTCGGCCCGTTTGCCGCTCACGCGAGGAATGCGAGCTGGGAGGCGGTGGAGGAATTGCAGAAACTGTGGACGAACTCTGTGGAATTTCCCGACGTTGAACTGGTCGCGGAAGAAGTCCCCGTCTCGTACGATTATGTGTCCAACCGTGTTCCTCATCTCTGGAAGAAACACAGTCCATTGGTAATTAAGTATAGTGTTCCCAGACAGCATGCATGTCCAAAATCGGACATAAAACGTCTTAAAGACATGTTTAAGACCTCTTTAAGACGTTTTTTATAATATAATGTCTAAAAGACGGTACGTCTTTATGACGTCTTATGTCCCGATTTTGAACATATGGTGCTGTCTGGGTTGCAACTCGAGCTACGCAATTTCTCGACACATATACTTATTATTTCCTATTTTAGATTGTTCTACACGTGGGTGTGTCGCACAAAGCTGATTCTCTAACGATAGAGTGTCACGCCTGCAGCAACGGCTACAAGAGGTTCGACATAGATAATAAATACCCTGATGAAACGAACGTCGAGTGCAGCGTCCTGGAAACTGGAGTAGATGTCGAAAAACTTTGCGATAGTGTGAATGAAAACTCCGAAAGAAGTGGATGCAAAGCCTGCGTCTCGTACGATGCCGGCAGATATTTATGCGAATATATATTTTATCAATCTCTTTCTGTTGAGCCGACAAAGACTCTGTTTGTACATGTTCCAGACTTTGACAAGTACTCCAGTATACAAACTGCAAACGGTTTATACGATATTTTGTGTTATTTATTGAGAAATTTGAAATCCAGTTAACAGTCGTAATCTGTTTAGCTGTCAGTAATTAATAATAGGATACAATAAAAACAATGATATAATTTTATAAAAATCTATGTGCTTAAGGCCTGTACACGTATATACGACATAATATCTAGAAATATAAAAAGGTTAAGAATGTAAGATATGTAATATAAATAATGTGATGTGATAAAAATAACAGTCTTAATCTATTAAGCAGTAATTAATAACAGAGAACAGTAGTTAAGCAATAATTTTATAATCTATGTGTTCAAGGCCTATATACTTTCTTAAATCTAGAAGCAAAAAATTTAAAAATATAAGATAGATGTGTAATATAAATAATATAATGTGATATTCTTATAGGATAAGGCATATGATTATGGCAAATACAAGTTTCATTTTTTGCTGTATAAATGTCCAGCTTTGATACAAATGTAATAACACTCCAATTACTGCATCGCAACTTATGATCCAGGTTGAAATTTCGTCCGTTCAGGTGGAATGTTGTATCTAAGCTCGTGAAATTCTGGCTTTCTGATCATCGATGCAACGTGCCCCATTTGGATCGTACAGTCGGGATTTAGATTCGGTGGTAGCAACGTGCATTCTCGCTCTAAGATGCACGCTAATCCTTCTAATAGCTCGATGAATCCTATAGACGCTGCTGCACGCCGTAATCTGTTTACCTCCTATGCGACAAAAATAATCATTTCGTAAAAATTCCATCATTTAAATTATATGCAATAGTCTTGCATTTTTAGTCCATCTAATTGAATGATCACATTACCTTGTAAAAGTTCTGTGTCTTGTCTGGTAATTTTCTCGCATGTCTCAATATTTTTTGAATATCAGATTGTAAGCCAACTTGGCGAATCCATGAAGGAGCATTTTGCGTATAGCTTCTCTTTTCAGCTGGTCTAACTGGAAAACTAACTGGAGAGCTTTTGACTGTATCTAATGGGCCTAAATTGCTGAAATTGCCTAACCACGGTACAACGTCAGATCCTGGCTCTAATACCGTTAGCATTAAGTTGGATTTCTTCTTAGTATCCGCCCAAGAGTATATAAATCCATACCATTCGTTGTTCAACATACAAAGAGCTGCCATATTTTCCACCTGCAAAGTATATTAATTATCTATCAACTTAATCAAATGCAAATAATAATAATTGCTAGATATCGAGCAAGACATTACCTTTAGTGCTCCGTGAAGCAATACGCAAAAAGACGGCATTTTTCCCTCGTCTCCGTTTTCATCAGTATCTGAATCCTCTTCTAATGATACGCCTTGCATACTTGAATTTTTCTCTGTTACCAATGGCAATACTAAGTGCCTAGAAATGGAACTTGGGCTACCAACATCTCCTACAGATATAAATCCACATATTTCTATGGTTTTTGATATTGCCAAGCCCGGGGTTAACTCGAAATCCGTCTTCTTTGTGTAAGGCTGAAACGTATGAAGTATTGCAGTGTCTATGCAACTGTGTTTATAGTAATCTAGCATGTTCCCATGTTTCTCAATTTACCATGGGAGCTGGCGATAATAAAATGCGGGAGCCTAAATGGCCACACTTTAGGTATCCTTGGAAGGAAACATAATTCGCTTCAGCTAGCTTCTGGAAGCAAGCCGCGACGGAGTATTTGCTAAGCGGTAGGTCAGGAACTAGTACAATACTGTCGCCACCAGCTAGATCAACTAAACGTTGATAGAGAGGTAAACCGATCTGCAAACTAGGGTCTGAAAACATATATGCAAGTGATATATTTAAATATATACGAAATAAAAGGTGAATAAAAGTATGTTTACGTTTCTCGACTTACCCTGCTGCGACCCGATGCAAACTATACTTAATTTCCCTGGGTATGGAAAAGGTAATGGAAAGGGATTTGTGTCTTGTGCGATATTCAAAGAACTCAAAGAATTGCCTAAAGACATTTGTCCTATGCCAGGATTACCATCCGTAATTAATATCACTTGGCAAGCAGTGGCGTTACCCCATTCCGCCATAATTACATTGTTAACCCCGTGCAATGCTCCTTCGATGCACGTCTTGTCCCACTCCTCGATAGTTTGCAACTTTGCACGTATGCTGTCATAATCACGCGTGAACGGGCAAACTATTTCGTATAACGACGAGAATACAATCTGAAAAATTCGTCAAGTTTACATATATTAGTATACCTATTGTACTTCACAGCATTAGTCTGTCTTCTTACCAGCGACACAAATTCTAGTTTCGAGTTAACTTGCAAGTAGTGTAGTAGAGAGTTTATCCCATGCACCGCTAAGTGATGCCGTGTCAACGGTTCATTTTGCAAATTGTCATTCGTCCCACCTGTCAATACAGGTCTCCTCATTGAGAGAGAGACGTCCAACGCTATAACCGTAGGCATTTTGACGCCCGAGTAAAGATTAGCGTAAAGTGATTAGAAACTAGAGACACTCTCATAATATATTTATGAACTGCATACAGCTTCTTTTTTGCCGAATCTGTATAAACTTATTGTTCGATGCGAACGTATAGGTTACACAGAGAGCCACGTATTAAACTTTCCTCTGCATCGATTTCCTTTCCTCGCGAAAAGGAGGTTATTCGTCTGGAGTTAATAAATAGGTACTTGAAAATTTCTTTAACGATACTTCTGTCATGCTAATGAATTTTTCGGCAAAAATGGTGCCGTGTATCGACGCATCGGTCCACAACTTGACTACTTGACGACTAACGAGTGTTTCGGATACTTTAACCCATGGTAGAAATACAAGGGTATGCTCTTGCGCATATTTCCGAACCCAGCCAATCAGCGACTTGCCCAACCTTACGTCACACTGAGCGGCACATTTAAGCAGCGAATCTATAATAGTCATTTATAAAAGCATTTTGAGCGGACAATATGTGAATACAAAATAATGTTGATCATTTATGTGAGAGAAAATTCTGTTTTATAAATAAATAAATATATATGAACAAAAATATATAAATATAAAAAACGCACGTGACATACGGATAAACGCTCATCGTTTCCCGAATTTGTCTCTCGTTGTAGATGTTAGAAACGTTATTGTTATTTGACGAATTTTATAATTATTTTATGTGGATTTGTCTAAATATATGATATTACAGAAAATATAATTATTATTAAGAAAAAAAGAATTGTGTGCATTGAATAAAAATCATTGCGACGTACGGAAAAATTTCACATAAAACGAGATTTTAATTTCCAGTCATTTATTATTAAAATTCTGCGAATTATTAGTTTTAATCAAAACTGGTCGGAAAACGATTGGAAAAGAATTGTCAGCTGAGACGCAAAACAAAAATATATTGTGGCGTACGACATAAAGAACTATATATGCAGAGGAAAGATGCAGATAAAAGATCAAATAACAATAAATGCAAATATTTAATATACAGGTTTTTTATTAGTAAATTTTGACATCTTTCTTCTTTTTTGCCTGTGATTTGCGATTGCAATCGCTCGGTTCATTTCGCGCAGCCTAATATATGTCCTAGTCCTAATGAGGCATAGTAATGCCTCTCTCGGTATTTTAATTTTCAATTGTGGTTCTATTATTTTTGCTAAGTTTTGAAATATAAGATTTTCTTTATTCAAACTGGATCCGTGATATTTAGCAAACTCAATATTCATTATACGAGCACATTGTAATAATTTGTCACTCGGATACATACATTTTCCTCGCGAAATAACTTGCAGCCAATCTTGGTCACCCGTTGTTTCCAATTGGCGCGTTTCAATACCTAATGTTTTATCTGTGCTTTTAAATCTAAATGCTACGTATCCGGCTATATATTTTGCTTTATATTTTGCTGGTGTCTGTTCTTCTGTACTGGACGATGCTGCTGTCTGTTCTTCTGTACTGGACGATGCTGGTGTCTGTTCTTCTATACTGGACGATGCTGGTGTCTGTTCAACATCCATCGAAACTTCATTTGATACAGGCAAAGGCATTGTTTCAGCTAATACATTTTCGTTTGATGTTAGTGGAGGTACTGCATGGAGATGCAACGTCGGGATAGCATCAGGATGTATCTTCCTAGTTCGTGTAGGTGAATAACCTAGTAGATGTTCTTGTAAGGGCTTCGTAAAAGCTTCATCAGCAAAATGCTTCGAACATATCCTAGCTGAAGCAAACAAGGTTTAAGATTCTTAAATATATGCTTATAATAATAAACAAGAGAAATCTATACAAAAGTACAAACCATATTTTGGTGAAATATTTTCTTTTCCGCATGCTTGACGCCACTTATTAAACAGTGCTGGATCCTTTGGGAAGGAAAAATATTTTATTTTATTTCCTTCGATCTTTCTGGTCTTTGCCAGATAGTTCCCACACCCTTTCACATTACACGTCATTGCGTACACTGTAATAATCACAAACGAATTACTCGACATAAACAGCGAACCGAGCGAACGCAGCCATTGCGAATCACCGAGTACATCCGATTCATTCCGATGCTACACGAATATGACGTAAGTTTAGATAAAAGTGGTGGGAATGCGCAGTGGTCTGACACGGTATGAGCATACCCTTGTATTTCTACCATGCTTTAACCCTAACCTATTCTGAGTTCCACTTCGATCATACGGCACGAATGTTTACATTTCGGCGGCGTTCATAAAACGCCTGCTAATGTACTTGATAAAATTTTATAGAAATGTAGCATATGTTTATTTTAGTTTTCTCTTTAAAAGATTAAATTAGAATATTTTACGACATACAGATATATTCTTTATTAGCAGATAAGGATGTTTGGGTTGTACATACAATACCAGCAAAAAGTGATTAAAATTTGAAAACTGCAGATTTCTTAGGTTTATATCGTTTGAAATATAAAATTAATAAATTTATATTACATAAGAAGTTCAATATCGTATAAATAACATGATTTTTAATGTCTTCAAAAAAGGGAATATTTATAATTAATATTTTTCACCTCTATGAAGTTGGCCGGACAACTTCAACGTATGGAACTTTCATTAATTGGAATCGATTGGTGGTCGTTTGGTGGTCTTTGGTAGTCTAGTCCGATCGTTTGGTGGTTAGTCGTTTTCCTGTAAAATAAAAATGAAATTTCCGGTGTGAAGTTAGCCGGACAATTTTTATTTTTCAACCAATTTAATTTTTTTATAACTCATTCGACGCGGATTCGTTTGGTGGTCACGAATATCATCGGTAAAACGTTTGGTGGTCAACCGTTTTCCCAGAAAATAGAAAAAACCGTACTCTCACGCCATTGGTCGCCATTGGTTAAAATTTATGACTTTCTCTTGATAATCCAATATAATTTAAAAAATTTTTGCTTCCTCATAGAGGAAGCTTTGTGATGGTAAAAAAATTTTTTTTCGAGATTTTGATGGAAATAGGTTTAGAATGTTCTAAAATGTCGAAAAATCGTATTAGTAAAAAATGTCCGGAAGTATGTATGTATGTGTGTGTGTGTGTGTGTGTGTGTGTGTGTATGTGTGTGTGTACGGATTTTTTGTACACGCATCTACTTCTACAATTTTTTAGATACCGGGTTGAAATTTTACACATAAATAGAGTATTATAGAAAGTATGTCCTCCTCAAATTTTATTGAAATCGGTCGACCGGTATAGATTTTATGCAGATTTTTATTTATAAAAAAAATGTGTTTTACGCTGCAGCTTTTTCATTATTTGAGATAGCGATTTATTTTTAATTCTATTATATTTTTCAGTTTTTTCTACCCCTATTTCATATATAATTAATTAAAATTTGGTTTATTAGTTCTCGAGTTACGGACGTTTGAAATTTCGGAGAATCCGTACATAATTTTTACGCTACAGTTTTCTCAATATTTGAGATAGCGATCTATATCTAATTCTATCATATTTTCCAGTTTTTTCTACCCCTATTTCATATATAATTAATTAAAATTTGGTTTATTAGTTCTCGAGTTATGGACGTTTGAAATTTTGGAGAATCCGTACATAATTAGAACCCTGGGACGTTTGAAATTTCGGAGAATCCGTACATAATTAGAACCCTGATAATTATATATCAAACAGGGGTAGAAAAGACTGATGAAAGCGATTTATTTTTAACTCTATTATATTTTTCAGTTTTTTCTACCCCTATTTCATATATAATTCATTAAAATTTGATTGATTAGATCTCGTGTTACACACATTTGAAATTTCTGAGAATTCGTACATATATTTAATGAATTATATATGAAAAAAAAGACTGAAGAATATAATAGAATTAGAAAAGTTGCCAATATTAAATCGGAATAGGTTTTATGGAGATTTTATGGTGCTTCCTTAGAGTTATTAAGTGTGCAAGTTGAAACTTGGACATTGC